CAACTTCGCTCCGGCTACTGCAGCAGGTTAAACTCCTACTTGAGTAGGCTGAATGAGGATGTGCCGAACGAATGTCCGGCATGCGGAGAGACCCCACATGACTCGAACCATCTCTTCGCATGCCCGGAAAACCCGACAACCCTAACGGCCCTGTCCCTGTGGACAGATCCCACAGAAGCTGCACGCTTCCTAGGGTTGCCGTTAGTGGAACTTGACGACAACGACTGAGATACCAACCGATTTGGGCGGGGTTGTTGTAGCCGCTACAACAACAACAACAACATCCCCGCTATTGTTTAAACTTTTCGGAAGTTCCTCATCCATCGCCGGGAGTTTTCCTTACCTCATATTCAGGCGATTGCGAAGACACTGAAGACCTTGCTGCCATACCACATCTTTCATCTGACCCCAGCCAAGCATCAGCATTGCTGCTGCAAAGAGTAAAGCATCACCATATCACTTAACGTCGTATACATTCAGATAACTCGCGGCCTTAACCTTACCAATTGTGAGAGAATACAGTCTTGGTAGCGTGCACTACTTAATTGTCAATACGGCAAAGCAGCACTTTGAGCAAAGAAAAAGCATAGTTGGAAATTTACCAGCCGGTTCTGAATTATGCTGCACCTATTTGGTCACCGGTACTAGTAAGACGCAATGGACGAGACTAATGACTTGTCAACCAATGTTCCAGGATAAACAGCATAATTTACAGCTCAGCAAACTATTTCTGATCGGCTGCTTCTCTATGAACTATCAACTTTTGAGCAGGCGTCTTTATTGGTGTCTAATGACGATAGTTGTTTGAAATCGTATCTGACAGTATGACCAGCACTGTATCTACATGTACTCTCAAACGTGCGTATGCGTCGATATGTTTCAATCTTCAGTTTATTTTTACGCTTTTTCAATTTTCTTATCAGCAAAACGTAACAGATAAGCCGATAACAAGTTCTCAAAATTTTTAACGAGCACACAAAATGCGTCAAGTTGCTTTAGTCAGTCAGCATGTTCATACAATACCCTATAGAATTGTTTCTGAAAAAGTATTTGGAAAAGGTTATCCTTCAAGTGCCGTCCCTATAAGTCAAAATGGAATACCTAGTAAAAATGTTAGGGACAACAGGTTCCACTTTGCGACAAATCGGCTTTAGCCAGATTCCCTAATTATTTTTTAGACCGACACACCAGAACTGACCAGATAATTATCCAGAGAAATTTCGAAGTAATTTTACATCCTACAGCTTATACTGAAATAAAACCCAAAAAGTCGAAAATTGTATAAAAGTATTTTTTGAGTTTCGAGCTAACAACTTTTCGAATTTAAGTGAGTTCCCACTATCTTCCGATTACCGAAATGTATACTATTCATGACTTTTAAGCTCAATGAAAGGTTAAAAAAAAAACTAAAAAATCGCTCGTATGAAACTTAAAGTACTTCATCATGCACTGGTAGCACTCATAAATTGTGGCGCTCAAGTTTTGCAAGACGCCGTTATCGCTTTCACTAGCGTCACCCCAAACCCCGGCTGTTAGAAATTTGTTTTTCACCCAGAATGTTGCAACGTAAATACGAGTGCTTATGGGTACTCAGTAATGCGACTATCTTTCAAAGAGAATGTACTTCTAACGCGAAATAGCTCCTCGCAAAAGCTAACGCGTTGTATTCGCTAAAAACTCTAAATTGAACGCAATTCGCAATGATTGTGAATTGCAAAAAAAAACAACAAAGAAAAATTAAACAAAAAAATCTGCATTGTCAGCTGCGTACAAATATGTGCATATCATAAGCTTTTCACATTGTGCTGCTAAAGGAAATAATTGTGTATGCAAATGTAGTAATTTTTGTGAGATTTGTGCGCGCCAAAGAAACAGAATAAATCAGTGGCTACTCCCGCAGTGACTTTTGTGAGTTCAGACGCGTCACTGGACTGGGGGTCATCATTTAACTTGACAGCCAGTCGTACATATTTTATGAAAGTGTGTATGTGTTTGATTTTTTGAATACTCTGTCGAATTTGTATTTCGTTGTCTGTCAGAATATATGTAGTGAAACTAAGTAGTGCATTATCAGCTCGTTTTGGTGCGGAAATTGGTCTACTGGTACAATCATTAACAATCCTACCCTTAACCTACTTAGCAGATCCACTGTTTTGGTTCTGCTATAGTCAGGCTAAAGCTCACGCGCTATCTTACAAGTCTGGGAATCCCTGACCCCTTCTTCTTCTTTGCTTATTTCGAAAATTTTCAACGGATATCTGCTTGTATTTGTCTGAAAGGGTATCCCAGTACCACCGGCATATTCATCGGAACAAGCTCGTGCTTTGCCAAACCCAAATAAGAGATATGAGTATTCGCTAAGTCAACAAGCGTAGCTTCTTCATGGATTTTTTTTTTGACCAGCTTAGACTTGGTTTTGTTAGATGCAATAGCCAAAAGTTATGCCTAGCTATCTGATTAAATCATTGCACTATTCTTTCCTGGTAAAACTATTCTTTAGCGTTTCACCGGCCTCACACACAAGTACATATATCCAGATCTTCAGCGATATCAAAATCTTCGGAATAGCCTCCTTCCTTGCAGTTCAGTATTTTTTAGAACCTTCAATGTGCTTCCTGATCAGCTACTGGTTCCTTATCCATTTCTTTCTTAAGCCAATAACCAGGTTCGATACCGTCTGGCAGAGCACAATGACATCCAACTAAATTGGCTACCAGGTCACATAGGAGTTGAGGGTAACGAGGAAGCTCCTATAAAGCTTGAGCCCTTCCTTGCGATGGGACGTAGCACAATCGAGGAAGAGCTCAAACGCTTCATCTCCAGGTCTACGCCAGGCTAAATGCTTACTAAGAGGCTACAACCTTACAAGGTACATGGCAATCAGAAACCTCCCCAACGGGAGGTTAAGTGATAATAACACTAAACGGACCTATTGTGAATCAATCGAGGGGACTCCTTTACAATCGCTTTATTTTTATGTCCGACGGTTACAGCACCCATTACCCTCAGTACCCTCCTACTCAGTGTGGGAAGTTCGCAAAGTAAGTGCCTTACTTATTCAGATACCTCCTCGTTCCTGCACAAGTCATTAAAAGGCACTCACCCAAACGTATTTCTCCTCTGCTCAGCATAGCAAACTCCCTCGATCTTTTCAAGTCCTAGTCGGGCCACATAAATTTTGAGATATCAAGGTGTCTCCATCTTGAGTTTGCTTCTGATAAGAAGGATACGTATATATTAAGCTTGCAGGTGGTAAGTAAGTGCCCTTCCTTGCAAGTTGCAATTTTTGTTGCAGCAATTTGTTACAATCTCTTGCTAATGACTGCGTCGGAATATATAGTGAGAGTTCTAAGACCCTCCCTTGGTCCAAATACGCCTGCCACAGTACTTCCGTCATTAA